AACACTGTTTATCATCAAGTATTACTGCAAAATTTCAAAAATCTAACCAAGGATTATAAACAAATTTCCAAAACTGCAGATTTTTGATTAATTTGCAAGGATAACAGTTGATGGAAGATTGAAAAGTATGATCTACTCCAAGGGAGTGTACTGGCTCCTATTTTAATATTTACACTACAACCAACCACTCCTTCAAAGCACAACAAATTTTATTTATGTTGATGAACTTGAACTTCATGCTTAGTTGGAGAGTATTCAGATGGTAGAACATCTTTTAACAGATGGATTAGAAGAACCTGACTCATCCTATGACAGAAACTAATTTAAACCCAACCCCACTAAAGCTCTGATGTCTTTCATTTGAGAAATAAGCAATGGAGATGGGCATGATCCAAAGCTTCGGCTGTTCATGACAGTTCATTTCTTGGCTGAACAGGTGTTCCGGGCTTCAAAGCCTCGCCTGGTGGATGCCCACTTAGAGGCAGTGCCTGGAAGAGGTGGGGCACGGAGACCAGGCCACTATCTCTGAGTGGGTGCCTGCTGAAGTAGGCAAGGCTTTGAAGGGACAAACACCTGTTCAGCTGACCACCAAACCAGCGGTTTGTGTCTATCTCTAATAAGTATGCATCCTGAAAACTTCTGGAGGTGTGTCCAACTGGATCATAGTTTTTCCCCAAATTTCTAGGTATTACTTTGGATCATGCACTGACTTGTAAGAGACACTGCCAAAACACAAAGCAAAAGGTCTCTACATGGAGCAATATTCTTTTAAACATTTATTTATTTATTCATTGGATTTCTATTCCGCCCATCTAGACTAAAGGTCTACTCTGTCCTGAAGCTATTAGGAACCAGCTGGGGCACACAACCAAAAACACTGAGACCTACAGCCCTGGCATTATGTTACTCCACAGGAAAACATGCCAACCCCCTGTGGTATAGTTCTTTCTATGCAAAACAGGTAGATGTAACACTCAGTGAAAGCTATACAATTATTACTGGATGCCTAAAGCCCACGTCAACTCATTTTACCAATAATCTAGCTGGCACTGCATCAGTTGTTGGAAGAATCTGCTGGAACATCACGTATTTTGTACTTTTACTCATAGATGCTAAACAGAGGCATACTGGAAATAAGACTAAGTTGCCACTATTCCTTTCATTGGCTATCTCTCACTGTCAGATTGTCACTTCTTTCCAATAAAGAGCTAAAAATTTACCAGTTCCTATCTTCTTCTCATAGTCCTTTGTAACCCTCAATCTATGCCCAGGCAGTGGCCCTGACACGTCCCGCCCCTCCGGCCCGCCCGTCTGTGCCCCGGTGGAATTTCGCTTTGCCATGATTGGTTCCCCGCTTGGGGAACCGATCATCGCAAAGCAATGCTTTTTTAACAGCTGATCGGCGGTTTCAAATGGCCGCCCGCTGTTTTCTGGGACTTAACAGGCAGCGGAAATGGCCGCGCTATGGAGGATCTTCGCTGAACTGTGAGTTTGAAGCCCCTAGGAATGCATTAATCGCGTTTTAATGCATTTCTATGGGCTTTTTATTTTCACATTGCGACATTTTTGTTTAGCAGCGATTTCGCTGGAACGAATTAACGTCGCAATGTGAGGCATCACTGTAATCTACAATATATTTTCCATACTGAAATAACCTCTCAGCCACACAGGTAGCATTTAGCTCTTATCGTAGAGTGAGACCGGACTACTGTGTTTCCCCAAAAATAAGACAGTGTCTTATATTAATTTTTGCTCCCAAAAAATGCAGTAGGGCTTATTTTCAAGGGATGTTTTGTTTTTTCATGTACAACAATCTATGTTTATTCATATACAGCCATGTCATCTTCTGGTTTGCTGCACAGTGGTGGAGGGTGGGCTTTCACTTAACTAGGGCTTATTTTGGGGGTAGGGCTTATATTACGAGCATCCTGAAAAATCATACTAGGGCTTATTTTCAGGTTAGGTCTTATTTTCAGGGAAACAGGGTAGTATTAATGTTAAATGTAGTTTCATCTCAACCCTCCTCTTTTTCAAAAGGAACCTGATGTTTATTTGAAATGGAAGGGTTAACTTTCACACACAACCCAGTCCCTCTGAGTTTGTTGCAGTAGCACATGAAGGGACAAATACCAGTTCAGGGAAGATTGTGGAAGAAAATGCTGTAATAAGAAAGGGTTCAAACACCCTCCTGGTACTGATTCAAAGCCCTCTTCCTGCATGGCTGTTCTGAAGAAAGGAAAAATCACTGGACAGGTGATTATATGTTTAATATGCACATTATTTTGACACTGAGTGTCATAGTATCCAATTCATTGTCCAGTGTTCGATCACTGCCTCTTCGGGGGGGGTCTGCCTTGTTTTAGCACAAGTCACAGGTGCCAGGTAGTCTGACAGACAGTTTGGTGCTTATGAACTTACACTCTTATTATCTGTGGCCCAACATATTCCTAACGCTCATCTTTTACCAATGTATTGGTTTTGGGGGCACCATTTTGAATATCTGTTCCTAGTGTTTCTTTTGTCTGTATAACATGCTGACAAAGCCCAGAAATCATGTATCTTGAGATATTTTAACTCCTTTTTTTTGTCTTTTTAGGTTTCCCCAGGGCAGCTTACAAAAAAATATAGTTCATGTTCAACAATATTTATAGATGACAGCACAGTCAGCCAGCCTAATCTTAGGAGCACAATAAAATGGTATGTAGTTCTGGAATATTTGGAAGTTCCAGTATTTTCTGTTTGATCAAACCTATTGGAAATGATAAATCATGGGTTTTTTAATAGTGAGCAGGAAAGTCTGTTCCCCAAACTGTCAGTTCAGCCAAGAGCCTCTTGCTAAAAGGAGTGGTTATACAATGGCAGGATATTGGTAACTTTTTGTGGTAAGACATGGGTAAAGTAGTCATTGTGGCTTTAATGCTGGCCTCCCATCTGGTGGTATCAAATTAGATCTTACCAATCTGATTCCAAAATTATCCAAATCAGAGAAAAAATGCTAATATTTATCTCTTGTTCTATTTGTTGGCTTCTTTCAGATCTCTTATTTGACTTACCAGTTTTTTGTAGTTTCAAAAGTCCCCTTTTCCTTCTATTGCCCGTGATCCTCTTTAAATTAGCTTCCATTTATGGGGCAGAAAAATGATGCAGTATGTATTACACACGTGAAGTAATCTGAGCTGTCCTCCAAGTAATTGAGCTTTACCATACAGAGAATGGTAAAATCCTGTTGTGCTTGAGACAAAGCAGTGAGTATAACTGATTCTGAATGAAAAGGAAAGCCCTGATTTTTTCAGTATAGTAGCTCACTTAAGTCTTGCTAACTTCAATTATTTGTATGTTGATGTCAAAGTTGGCCTAAGTTTGGAAAAGGAACACCTGTGGGAAATAATGGATTTTCCACCAAAGTGATATTTTGTATAACACAAAACATTATTTTAGATATGTTATGCATAGCAGAATCATTGTAGCTGAGTTCAGAGGAGGGTGTTGGAGGTGACCTTCCTTCCCTGAGGTTTTGCAGCCAACTTGCAATTCTGTTGTGTGGCTGGTATACTTAACATGTCATAGCACGTATTACCTTCCTCCCATGAAAAAGTGAAGATATTATAATACATGCCTCTTCTGTGTACTGCATCTCCTTAAGAGTTTTGTTCAGGAGTACCTTACGCTGTTATGGATCACCAACCTTGCAGGACAGTCTCTTTCAAATCAGGGCAAGCTGCTTAAGGGATAATTCTCTGCAAAGAGGTTTACCTCATTTATAGGTGTAAGGCCTACTAAAAGCTAACCAGCTCCCCCTCCTCAATTTATATTGCTCAAAGAGTATCTTTGGCAAACTCCATGAACTGTTAATATTCTCAGAATGGAGCAGGTAGGGAATTGACCCTGCATATTTTTTGACAGTGTGTGCGAGATTCCTTAGCAGGCTGTATTGTGTGAGGCACCCTATGAGCCTTGTTGCATTTATGGTCTAGTTAGTCAGGATGCCTCTTCATTCCTTTCACAAATGCACCCTAAACCATCCCCACCATATTGCAGGAGTGGCAACATCAAGATACATCTTGATCACATCAAGACACATCCACATCAGGTCTGCTGGATAATAACCCAATTACTTGGAATAAAAGGAGATAAAGTAAGCAGTATCCCTGCTTATCTTACTTAGAAAGGAGAAGAATAAATGACTGGAGGATTCCCCCCTAGCTTGGGAACGCATTTGATTATTGATGTACCTCCCTGGATTTTCTTCCTCATTTAAAAAAGAGTCTTGTTCATTTTTAATGTAATAGTATGCAGTATACATCTGCTAATCTGTTAATTGTGATGTCGTCCAAATTAGCTAGCATTAAAGAGATTCTGCCCCTTCACGGATTGCTGCCTTGTTGTGGCGAAGGGGCTTGAGTAATTCAGGGAAGCTATGGGCTATGCCGTGAAGGGACACCCAAGACGGACAGGACATAGTGGAGAGTTCTGACTAAATGCAATCCAACTGGAGCAGGAACTGGCAAGCCACTCCAGTATCTTTGCCAAGAAAACTCCATGGACAGAAAAAAAAGACTAAAAGATATGATGCTGGAAGATGGCCCTCCTCAGGTCGGAAGGCGTCCAACATGCTACTACGGAAGAGCGGAGGTCAAGTACAAGTAGCTCCAGAGCTAATGAAGTGGTTGGGCCAAAGCCAAAAGGATGCTCAGCTGTGGACGCACCTGGAAGCGAGAGGAAAGTCCAATGCAGACCTTTCAACATCACAGTAATCCAAGTGTATGCATCAGCCACAGATGCTGAAGAGACTGAAATTCTCTGCAGCCAAAGATGGAGAAGCTCTATACGGTCAGCAAAACAAGACCTGGAGCTGATTGTGGCTCTGATCATCAGCTTCTTATAGCAAAACTCAAGCTTAAACTGAAGAAAGTAGGAAAAACCACTGAGCTAGTCAGGTATAATCTAAACCAAATCCCTTATGAATACACAGGAAGTGAAGAACAGATTTAAAGAACTAGATTTCATGGACAGAGTGCCTGAAGAACTATGGATGGGGGCTCGTACCATTGTACAGGAGGCAGCAACAAAAAACATCCCAAAGAAAAGGAAATGCAAGAAAGCAAAGTGGCTATCCAAAGAGGCCTTACAAATAGCAGAGAAGAGAAGGGAAACGAAATGCAAGGGAGATAGGGAAAGTTACAGAAAATGGAATGCAGACTTCCAAAGAATAGCAAGGAGAGACAAGCGGGCCTTCTTAAATGAACAGTCCAAAGAAACAGAGGAAAATAATAGAAAGGGAAAAACCAGAGATCTGTTTTTGGAGCTATTAAAGGAACATTTTGTGCAAAGATTGACATGATAAAGGACAAAAATGTTAAGGACCTAAGAGAAGCAGAAGACCTCAAGAAGAGGTGGCAAGAATACACAGAGGAATTATACTAGAAAGATCTGGATGTCCCGGACAACCCAGATAGTGCGGTTGAGCCAGACATCCTGGAGAGTGAAGTCAAGTGGGCCTTAGAAAACATGGCTAACAACAAGTCCAGTGGAGGTGATGGCATTCCAGTTGAACTATTTAAAATCTTAAAAGATGAAACTGTTAAGGTGCTACATCCAATATGCCAGCAAGTTTGGAAAACTCAACAGTGGCTAGAGGACTGGAAAAATCAGTCTACATCCCAGTCACAAAGAAGGGCAGTGTCAAAAGAATGCTCCAACTACCGTACAATTGCACTCATTTCACACGCTAGCAAGATTATGCTCAAAATCCTCCAAGGTAGGCTTCAGCAGTATGTGGACCGAGAACTCGCAGAAGTACAAGCTGGATTCTGAAAGGGCAGAGGAACTAGAGATTAAATTGCTAACATGGCTGGATTATGGAGAAAGACAGAGAGTTCCAGAAAAATATTTACTTCTGCTTCTTCTGGACCACAGCAAACTATGGCAAGTCCTTAAAGAAATGGGAGTGCTCACCTTATCCATCTCCTGAGAAATTTATATGTGGGACAGGAAGCAACAGTTAGAACTGGATATGGAACAACTGGTTCAAAATTGGGAAAGGAGTATGACAAGGCTATATATTGTCTCCCTGCTTTTTTAACTTATATGCAGAATACATCATGCAAAAGGCAGGACTGGAGGAATCCGAAACTGGAATTAAGATTGTCAGAAGAAATATCAACAACCTCCAATATGCAGATGATACCACTCTGATGGCAGAAAGTGAGGAGGAATTAAAGAACGTCGTAATGAGGGTAAAAGCGGAGAGCGCCCAAAATGGTCTGAAGCTCAACATCAAAAAAACTAAGATCATGGCCACTGGTCCCATCACCTGGCAAATAGAAGGGGAAGATATGGGGGCACTGACAGATTTTACTTTCTTGGCCTCCGTGATCACTGCAGATGGTGATAGCAGCCACAAAATTAAAAGATGCCTGTTGTTTTTTAATTGGGAGGAAAGTGATGACAAACCTAGACAGCATCTTAAAAAGCAGAGATATCACCTTGCCAACAGAAGTCCGCATAGTCAAAGGTGAAGGAGCAGAGTGTGCAAGTGAGCCGTCTGTAATAATAGAGCCCGTAGAAGGAGGAGAAGTGGGGTAAAACAAAAGGGTGATAAAGTGACAGTTAAAACAGAGGTGGGAGAAATAGAATAGAAGGAAAAGGCGGGAAAGGCAGAGGTTTGCCTAGCAGAGGAGGGGAAAGGGGAAAGGGGGGTGGAGCAAGAAGTGACAGTTTGGGAGGAAGATATAAATGAGGAAGGGGTACGCTGGTTCAGTTCAGTAGTAGCAGATTACAAGAGAAAGAGAGCTAAACACGAAGGAAGGCGGTTGAGAGGATAAGAACTCAAGGACTGATAAGAGACTTCCCAAACTTAAAGGTGGGAGGATTACTGCTGGAGCCTACACCAAGGGAGCCGAGACCCAGATGATATATGATGAAGGAATGGACTATGATAGTCGCGCTGCATGAGCTCGATTTGCAGAGAGAAGCAGAGATAGCCCACAACCGGTTTTATGACAAGCCTGACAAAAGAGGGTGGATTAGGCACCCATGTTGTGGGACAATCTGTGCCCTACGAAGTACTCCTCCCCCAAGACTGGACTACAAGGAATGCCATGGGGTGCATCCCCGTTGAGTCTGTGGGACTATGGCAAAAGTTTCAGTTCTGTTAGTTGTGGCTTGTTGCCAGAGTTAAGAGTTTTCAACCCCATAAGTAACGTGCTGGAGGAAATGTTAATAAAGAAGAAGGACTGAAAGTGATAAAAACGTCTCTGTTGTTATTTTCTGCCGAAGGTGAGGGGTTGCCCAAGGAGATAGAAGAACCCGATCACATCAAAGCTATGGTTTTTCCAGTAGCGATGTATGAAAGTGAGAGCTGGACCATACGGAAGGCCAACCACAGAAGAATTGGTGCTTTTGAATTGTTGTGCTGGAGGAGGCTCTTGAGAGCCCCCTGGACTGCAAGGAGAACAAACCTATCCATTCTGAAGGAAATCAACCCTGAGTGCTCACTGGAAGGACAGATCCTGAAGCCGAGGCTCCAGTACTTTGGCCATCTCATGAGAAGAGAAGACTCCCCAGAAAATGAGTAGCCTGTATAATTAAAAATTGTAAACCGCCCGGAGAGTGCTTGTAGCGCTATGGGGCGGTATATAAGTCCAATAAATAAATAAATAAATAAAAGGCCCTGATGTTGGGAAAGTGTGAAGGCAAGAGGAGAAGGGGATGACAGAGGACGAGATGGTTGGACAGTGTCATCGAAGTGACCAACATGAATTTGACCCAACTCTGGGAAGCAATGGAAGACAGGAGGGCCTGGCGTGCTCGGGTCCATGGGGTCACGAAGAGTTGGACATGACTTAACAACTAAAGAACAACAAAAGAGATTCTGATTTTTTTCTTCAGTTTACCTTGCATTAATATTGGTTTAGTTTACTTTGGAGCTTTAACAAGTGCATTTATGGGTGTTTTAGAATTTCTAAAAGTTGATTATGTTATTAAAAATGTATTTTTATTCATAACAACGATCTTGTAGCAAAATGGAGTTCGTAGAAGCACTTAGAATGAAATGCTTTTTCCCCCTCCTTCTCTTCACAGTGTTACATTAGCAATATATTATCACATAAAGAACAGGTAAGCACTTTTGAAAACTATTGCTTTTAGGTTGCTGCTGTGATGCTGTTCTGTTGCTCTGTATCAGTTCCTGAATGAGGACTGGGTTTGGCCCTCATTCAGGGACAATTGTGCTAAATTGGGGTGCTCACATTGAGGAAGTGGTGATTTCAGACTTGCAACATGGTTAGAACTCATGTTTAGATATGAAAGATGGGCGTACTTTGCAAAGTACAAGACGAAATTACTAGAAATCAAAAGCAGAAGACTGTTAAATGAGTGGTTCTTCATGATGTCTTTGAAATTACACATATGGGTTCCTTTTGTGCCTGCATGAAAAACATCAGAACTTTCCAGAGTCTAAGGAAAGTGTTGAGACAAGTCCCTTCCACTGAGCAGACTCTCTACCTTGCCTCAAGTCCTCGGTTCCCTTTTTTTCTGCCACTCAGAGAACACCCAGCAGCTTTCTCAGAGCCTTTGTGTTTTTCCTCAACTTGCCACGTTCTTACCTTTCACTTTCCCACCCTCTCCTCACCCTCCATTCTTCATTCTACAAAACAAAACAAAAAAAGTTGAGACTTTTTCTTCCATTTGTTTAGTCTTTGTCATTGTCCATTAATATTACGGCCCTGGGCAGGCACATTCAAGAAGTGTGTTAGCTATAACAACAAAATTTATCTTACTGATGACCACTCCAAGTGTCTGTACTCTGCTTCAGCTAGGAGCACAAACTCATTGTTGCTCCATCTGCTGCAAATTTACAAAGAACTGATAGTCCCAATGTTAACCATACTTTGCAAGAGAGATCACTACAGGCAGTCGATACAGTTGCCAAAGATACAACTTTTGTTCCTGATATGTCTATTTGCAAAACTCCCTCAAAACAGATCCGTATGGAGTATTTCAAATGGACGCTTCTGCTAAGGAAGATCCATCCTCTCAGTTACAACCTATTCAGTTAACAACATTCCACGATACTAACGAAAGGCCATTGACATCTAAGTCAAGTTGCTCTGTCTTAATAGTTTAATAAGGGGGAGCTGGGAAGGAAGAGTCACAAATACATGCTCCTTGATGAGATATTCAACTGCAGAAGATTAATGTTAAATATAGCTGTCTAGGGATGAAAGGATTCCCATAGAGACAGGAACCACAGTGCCAAGGCTCATGAGTCATGGCTGTTTATAGACTTCAGTGATTATTTTCTTTCTTTTGGTTTGTTCTGTTTTTGCATATGTCATTTTACATCTCTTAAAATATGGATGTAGGCTT